GCCACCGCCAGCGACGCAGTCATCGCACGTGATCCGGATACCACCGCACTGCATTAAGACACCGACTGTCGTCCGCGGTCGCGCGAGGTGTACCGCGAGAGAGAAGACCAGCGGCGTGCCGGTGGCGGCAGCGCACAGCACGAGAAACGCCGCGAATCTTCTTCCGAGAGGAAAATTTTCATTTTTCAAAACACGATCCACCCTCAACGCGCATCGTCGCGGTTTTGCGCGGGGTGTTCGCGATGCTCGGTCGCGCCGCGGTTGACGACGGAGAGCCACGCAGTGCTGGCGATGGCGAGGCGACCGCGAAACTCGGACTCAGGATACGTTGCGCGAGGGTGCCGCGTACCAACTCGCCAGAGTCGTCGTCGCCGTCGTCGTCTGTCGTCGGTCGGCGTTGTCGTCGCCGTCGTCCGCGATGCGGGCCGCGAGGACCCGAGCCTGCGGACAAGCCTCCGCCGACCGTTTTCCCGACGTTGGTATCGAACGTGCTCGCACACTGCGGCACAACTTAATAGCAATACGTAACCGAACGAAGTACACTTTCGCGGTGGTCGCGGCCGGTGACGGCGGCGGGGGCGCGTACGCGAAGCTCGTGTCCACCAGACCGGCGACCTGTACGCTTTCCGAATTCCAGTGCACCTCCCCATTGTCGTCCACCGCCGGCGGAGACGACGACGACAACGACGCCGCCGCCGCAACCGCCGCTGTGCGGTGCGTGCCGTCCATCAGGTACTGCGACGGCCGGCGCGACTGTCCGGACGGGTCCGACGAACCGCAATACTGCACGCGTGAGTTCAACCAACAGTGATTTACAAAACGGTTTGTGAAAAAACCGAAAAAAAGATACTATTATTTTGTACGGCGGAATCGATTGTAGAGCTTTGGTCGAGTTCGAGGCGTTATATATTGAGATATTCGGTCGGGGAACTCGACGTTTTGTTCGCGAGTCTTCAGAAGTGCGACAATCCGTTGTATGGCGTGGTCTACCGTCGGACGAACTCTGCGTGAAAGTCGCGCTGTAGGTATTTTTCACGCACCGTTCGTTGATGTACGACAATAATATCATATTATTACATTTCGAAACAATATAATACGCCCGCGTTTCACCCTTATATCGGTATAATATATCACAACTACGTAGGTATAATAGGTATATGTCAAAACTAAAAACGATTCGTGTACTCATACGTGTGCGGAGTGTTTTTCGAAAACGTAAGTCTGTAAAACTATTACGCCTTGTTAAATTTTGTCGAGGGATTTTTCCTCTACTAGTTTGAACGTCGAAGATGAATTATTTTCCCGCCACTCAAAACGATCAGTCCGATAATGTATAGCACGAGGCTGCTCACCTACCGCCCCTCGAAATGAAACTACTTAATGGAATTAACTCACTTCTGCGAAAAAGCTTACGCGACAATATTTTCCTACAGTCGTGTCCCGTACGCAAACTATAGATTCCACGTAGATAATATAATATGATCGCTTATTATCCGTACTGGTTGATGTTTAGTATTCTGTTGACTTATTTTTTTTCGTGTCGTGTCTGTTTTTCTACTCCAAATAACTGCAGAAAGTGTCAATCTTCATTCATCCGACACGACGTCACGACGTTCATGTTTCTTAATTTTTGGGCTAAAAGAGTTGGTGGGAATTTTTTCATATGGGGTTACATTAATTTTAAATTTTTTCTTGATAACCGTGTTTTATAAAATTGCTTTTATAGGTAGTAATTTTGCAAGCAAAGTGATCGATCGACATCTGACCACTGATAAACTTATTAATTACACGTTTTTATTTTATATTTTCATTCCACAAAACAACGTGTGAAATAATAAAGCCTCCGATTTTAACATACGCGACCATGACTCGGAAATCTTGTATTATATAGCCGTCCCATTTACTGGGAAAATGGTCGTTGCAATATTTACAGCTAAATGAATAATATACAACGAACGCCGCAGACCGCGGATGGTCGAAAACTTTCCGTCGACAATCGTCGATTTAATAAATATTGCACATCACGTAGTAGCGTAGTACACTAGTACATGCGTATTATTATTTATTAAAATATTTAATATTAACGTATAGAATGTTTTCAAAGTATCATAATTCATGCCGTGATTTTGTCGGAAGTCTTTTAGCATTTAATGCGATGTAATATTATAATAATAACTTCCATGCAGTATATCGTAAAAGTTTTGGTGGTTTAAAATTACGAGTATGTATATTACCTAAGTCGATCGTTTGTTCATTGATTTGGATATTATAATTTTTATTCCCTCTACACGGCCACTATACCGTCATTTAATTACTTCTCTTCCTGTTTTGATTAGCTATAAATATTATTATGACTTATAATTACGTAGCTATTGTCAATACCTATATTAGTATTGCGGACGACTTACTAATTGTAAGCGATTCTGTATTTATATGAAATTTGACAGGTGTCAAATTCAATTACTACAATAACACAGTCGCCATAATATTACACTCAAGAATACCCGGGAGTATTCAATAGTTGACACTTAATTCTACAAAACATTTTAACAGGAATCTCCATTACATCATAATCCGTTTTGTCCCGTTTCAAAATAAAACACAGTGATATTAAATATTATATTTTCATAGGAAACCTCCTTGCAAAATGTGTCAGCTGCTAGTAATAGAGAAATAGCTATTGGATATTCAAAATGTTATCGTCTATCGAACACGTTTTGTACTTTTGAAGGAATCATAAGCATAACATAATAATGTCAACTATTATCATAGTTATTCTTAATACTGTTTTGGGCGCTTAAAAAATTTTACTATACCCATAGCAATTGCAGATTGGAATGATTACAATACTTTTGTTATGCACAAATTAATGTTGTGAATTAAACGTTTAAATTATTCGGTTAAAAGAAAACATTTTTATTGATTTTAAAATAAAAATACGTTTTCAATTTATTCGTTTGTTTTTTCTGTGACGTTTGACATTTAACAAATATTTATACATTTCACAAAGGTACGTAATATTTAAAGCACTCTAACGATAATTATTCATATTTGTGTGTGTTTACATATATTTATAATAATGATTATAAATTAATCATTCATAATATAGATTTGACACAACGCTTCGTTACTTTATTAATTGTGTACCTATATCAGTTTTGAAATGGCTTTGTATTATTAGTCACATATTTTTGATCGATTTTGTCTGTATTATGAGCACGGTTTAACGTATTATTAATGTACTACTGATTTTACGCGTGTAATGAGGTCATGTATAGTTTACACGTGGAACAACAGTTCAGGGAGTTTGCGGTGAAAATGTATAGATTTTCAGTGACCACTCGAAATGTTTTAGCGTTTATTTAACATTAAACCGTGGTCCGTGGCGTTACACTAACTTGCGTACACGAGCACGTATAAAAATAATTATAAAACGTTGATATGGAAATGTTTTAACAGTTACGACGCGGCGATAGAGAATATCTGTTATAAAACAATTATGTGTACCCTTTATTAATATTACGACAAAATAAAACATGTTTTATTTAATATCCAATACGATTCGTAGGTGAAATAAAAGTACAAATATTAGACGAGACTACGTACAAATTGTTTGAAACTATCGAAATATCGACAAAATAAATAGCCAAGCCGTCAAAATATACAGTATATGCCTCGGAGAGCAATAATTTTCTGAAGTTTTATTTTCTAGGGAAATCTAAAAACAAGATCACGTATATTATATAGATAGATTTATAAAATAGATAGAATCCATGCAAACTTTACCATTGGTTGGTTGGGCTTGGCACATCCAATAATATTTTCTTCTTTCGAGTGTAAATCGTTTTGAATCATTCCGTGTAATAAAATATACAAATATAATATATGCGCCACATCTATGTGTAACTGTGTAATTGTGGAGACAGATTTCAGTTTTTCCGTGTACAATGAATTTTATATTTGCTTATATATTCGCAAACGAATTTAAATAATCTGAAATATTCTTATTTTATCGAGTGTTTTTTGTTTTGTTTTGAACATTTTTTTACGATGTACAATAATAACATTATTACATTGACGACAGATGACTAATAAAAATACACTAAACGTATAAGAAATTAATAAAAAATAGTTTGTATTAAAGAAACTAACATAATGTTATGCAAATATTTCCAAAGTCAAATAATTATATTATAATTAGAGAGTGGATTTGTGTGCATTTGCATATTTATTCTTGTTGATCATTGTTAAATTAGTACAAAAAAGTTTTATAACGTAGAAATTGATTATGTAATACCCTTTTAATGCATAATTTTAAATATTTTGATCTTTCGATGTTTGAATGAATTATCATGCTAGAAGTTTTAGTGAAAATTTAGGTGTTTTCTAGAAATATTTGAAGAATTATTATTAAAATTTTGATTAAATCTATATTAAAATCCGTTGATATTGGTATAAATATACGGGTTTTTTTGTATTTGACTAGCTATTATATATAACGATATTTAAATTTATTGCATTTAGCCATCGATACATAGCCAAAAAAGTAAGTTCTATAAGTTAAGAAAATATCGATTTAAATGTCGGACCATTGATATTAATTATTTATTAACTGTTAAAAATTTATGAAGAAATATAATCTTTTTTTTTTCATGATTTCCATTTATTTTATTAAATTCGTTTGTATTTAAACTTTTTCATGGGTATTAATTCGCGTTTTAGTTGTGATGGAAATTATTACGTTTTTACTTTTTATCCATTTCTTTAAGATATAATTGCAGGTATAAAAATCCAATTTATGTTCCTTTCTCTATTTGAAATATTTTCTAATAAATTTAAGTTAAAAGAATTATCTCATATTTTATAAAATTACTAACACATAAACTTCGTTAGTGTGATTATTATATTACATATATTTGTAGAAAAATCGATAAACTTATGTAAAACATTTATTTTGATTAATGAATTTCATCATCACCCTATACTAATGATCCTATGAATTATTATATGAAGTTTAAATAATTTTAAAATCTTTAGCTATATATAAAATTGGTTTTGTATATGCGTTGACTACTTAACGGTCGGTATTGTGAATGATCAATGACTTCAATCGGGTTTGTTACACTTATAATGCACTTGAAATCGATTATCATTTTTATGGTTTTCCGTGGTTGATTATGTGTATCAAAACGCTTAAAACCTTTAAGCTGTATTTATAATGGCTAATACTTAACCTTTTTCTTTAGAATAGAATTTATATATATTTTAATATACTTTATGTCTGAATAGTTTCGTTTATCTATTTCCGACAAAATTCAATACGTATACTATGCAGGTACAAAATATTATATTTAATACGCTTAATTTGTATAACTGTGTTACATTTATTCGTAAAAATTGTTATTAATTTTATTATTTTTAAATAATAGTTTTGAAATGTTTATATCTTACACACAATGTACAATAGTTGAAAGGTTAAATATACGTACGTATTACACTATTACGTATGATATTGATCTTAATAGAAAAGTATTATAAAAAAATTACGTTTGTAACAGTTAACAGTTTTAAATATACACTACGCTCATAACTTTACGCATCAGTGATAACCTATTTGGCATTTTGTGAAAACAATAATGAACAATAATTAATATGTTTAAAATTTAATTATCTACCTTTATACTTCCAGAATTTTCGTTATAAAAAATATTTTATTTGATAGCGTATAAACATTTAGAAGAAATGTTGTTTTGTTCAGTCGTAAAGAAAATATTATGATAAGTCTATCGTA